CTGGTCGTGGTGTGCCGACGAGGATGTCGGGCCCCTAAGGGGGGGTGGATTGTGACATCCCACATCGCCTGAGGGAGTGATCCTTATATGTATATTCCCATCCCTACCTAACACGAGGCCTTTTGGGAGCTCACTGGCTTCGGGTTCAGTAGGAACTTCGAAGTTAAGCGAGAAGGGGGGCTAGAGCAATCCCATGATGGGTGACCCACTGGGAACTTGCTCGTGAGTTCCCAAAAACAAAACCGTGAGGGAATGGTAAGCCTAAAGCGGACAATATCATGCTATGGTGGTGGAGCGGGCGCTGGAAATGGTCCCACCTGGGGCGGGATGTGACATTATCTCTCTCGCCCTACGTTTACATGAAAGAGTCTACTCACGTAAAAAAAAAAAAGGGACTATGAAACAGACACTGCATTGCAGTGTTCGAATCCAATTGTAAAAAAACAGAACCAAGAAACGGACACTGCATTACAGTGTCTGAATCTAAATGTAAAATCAGGAGTCGCGTGAGGAGTGAAGTGTATGAGATGTGTGAGTGATGGAAAAAATAGAACCAGGAAAAGGACGTTGCAACGCAGTATTTGAATCCAAAAGTGGAAAATAGAACTAAGAAACGGACATTGCATTGCAGTGTCTGAATCCAAATGTACAAAGGAACATGTAGGAGGCGTGTGAGTGATGGGAAAAACAAAACCAATAAATGGACACTATAACTCAGTGTCTGAATCCAAATGTAAAAAACAGAATCAAGAAACAGACACTGCATTGCAGTGTTTGATCTATATTGATTTATTCCAAATATAGAACTATAAGAAAGAGAGTGTTAGTTGAAGTGGGTGCCAGCTGTAGTTGCAGATTTTGTAATTTTTGTTTATTTTAAATGCATTTAAGTATTACAATACATGATTGACATATTTATAATTAACATAAATATGGTTGATCTATTGTTAATATTGTAACTTTTTATTGATTTTTCATAAATCACCCTAAAATTTATGCGCCGGCCAATACATCAATACCTCTTACACATTTTTTTTTCCAAAATCATTAATTCTCCGTTTCAATTTTCATAGTTTGAAAAATATTTCATGATATTAATTCACATAATATCAATATAATTAATTGTAGATAATAAATAAGTAATTAGGGGTATTTTAGGCATCTAAAAAACTCAAATTGTTTAAAGCCAAACTTAATTAAGAAAGAGTGTTGATATTCCCATCCTAGTGTCTTATTTTCCCACCCACCATTTAATAAATATGTTAATGACATGTTTATCCCTTTAAAAGAAGACTTTTAAATCCCTATTTAATTAATTACAAAAATTAAAAAAAAACATAATTTAAAATAATAAATAAATAATGGTGTGTGGGGTGTGATATCTGCATTGGAGAAAGGCTAGGAAAGATTTGGGCTACAATCAGCATAAACGGTTGGAGGAAGGAACAGTGTGTGATAGACAGAGGCGAGAAACTTCAATGGAGCCTATGCGGTGCTGCGGTAAATGTGAATACTAGGCATTTGGAGGGGGTGGGTGGGTGGTAGGGAATATCGGTGATTGTGGGACCTCTCTCTCTCCTTTCTCTCTCGCCTTTCTCTATTGTCCATCTTTGCGCACCTACATCCCCAAAACCCAAAAACCTTTCCACCCGTCCCTCCGCCCAACCTTCCTCCACCACCCTCTCTCTCTCTCTCTCTCACCTCTTTCTCTTCTCTTTATCTCTGGGCACCCGCATCCCCAAAATCCCAAAACCCAGAAACCTTTCCCACCCGTCCCCCCCAACCTTCCTCCACCACCCTTTCTCTCTCCTCTCTCTCATGTGCATTGTCGTCAGCCATGACAGCGTTGTTGGTGGCGCACAACCTATCGTGGGTGATGGAGGAGGCGCTGAGGATGACACTGGAGTCGAAATCGGCCCTCGACTTGAGCAGAAAAGTTAAAAAAATAAAACCCAGTTCGTCTTCCCTACCCCCTTCTCCCCACCCGAGCCCACTCTCAAATCGGACACACCCCGTCTCCCCACCCCTTCTCCCCACCCGTCAATCCTCCATGTCGGGCCCCACCGAATTAGGCCCTGCATCCTCGTCGCCTCGCCGATCTTGTCCCAGGGCCGACGAACCCGCTGCAAAAAAAAAAAAAACAAAAAAAACAGAATCTGGGTTTTTTTGGTCCAAATTTTTTTTTAAATAAAAAGGTGAAGAATGAAGGTGAAGGTGAAGGTGAGAGAGATAAGGGAGAGATTGGATGTGAGAGAGATAGGAGAGAGAGAGAGAGAGAGATGGAACACATGGGAGAAAGGGAAGAAAATGAGAGATGGGTTCGGATCAGGAAGAAAAAGGGCGAGAATTATGGGGGGTGGGTCCCACATGTTTTAAAATAAAAATATTAAAATAATTTATTTTAATATTTAATTAAAATATTAATATTTTTATACACTTGGCTAGGAAGTGGGTCCCGTCTCAAGCCACGTCAGCATTTAACAGAAAAACTGACGGAGGTCTAACATTGTCACAAATTCGTAAGATGAGGTATGAAAGTGTTGTCAGACTAATAGTTGAGGTAATTTTTTGTCATTAGCCCTAAATATCATTTAAAGATATGTTAAAGTTACATGACATATTAGGGTGTTAAAATCGAAGATATTTAAATAGTATAAGGCGTGACAAGTGATCTGTAAACAAGAGCAGAGCCAACTAGTGGCTGCCCTAGACTTTAGCACACCCGAAATTTTAAAAGATGGGAACTTTGGGTGTTAAAATAACCATGTTATAAGAAAATTTAAGTCTAATATTTGACAAACATAATTTTTTTTTTTTGGGCAAACAATATAATCTACATTAAGGGAAGGGGGTGGACTTAATCTCAGAATGAGCTAACAATAATGTGGTTCAACTTTGTATTTGACGAGAATCGAATTTAAGATATTTCATTGACCGTCGTACTTAGTGGCTTGACAAACAAAAATTTAGCCTACTCTCGATATCTAAATTTGTAAATTTCACTCCATACTACAAGAAAATAAACTACCCCTTTATTTAATTTCTTACCTCCATCGATCCTTGTTTAGAAACATCATATCAATTAATGATTTGATCACATTATGGGTGATACAAAGTTGCAAACGTTACCCTGTTATATCTTTGACTTTTAATATTCTATCCATTCAGAGAACTAAGGAAAAATTCCAGAGAAAATATTTTAGACATAGATTAAGAACACCTTTTTTTTCTTAATCGAAAGCTTAAGAACACTCATGTATTCAAATATTCATTGTCTGCCTGTTAAGATATGCCGCCAAAATTTTATATTAAAATCCAAAAGACGCGTGGTTGGAAGGTGAATGTGTAACCACCAAATTAAACCAGTCCTCCTAGTTAATTAGGCAGGAGAATAATATAGATTTCCTACCGTTTAAATTAATACGACTTAAGCAATATTCATCTTGCTCACAACTACAAAATAAAAAGTAATGTGATCAAAGTCACACCCAAACATCGTCATGCATGATGCATGGTTGATGATGATTCATCAACAAATTGTAGAAGCGCCTTTAAATAGTTGGGTTTCATCCAAGTCCTGCAAAAACTGTAGAACCAAAATTAAAATTACATGCCAAGTACATAACTTTAATTCTTTTGGAATAAGATGCTTTATTTAAATATCATAAGCTAGTACAGGGGAATGAAGAAATAGTACAAATAATAATATAAAGGATAGCCACAATGTCCATTCAAACTCAAACGTGAAAATCAATAACAAAAGTATGATTTAAGTTAGGGTAATGTTAACCACGTATCCATTTTTACTTCTTATACATTATTTTCAATTTCGGCTATCGAATCAAGTGAATTGAAGAAGATGAATGGTAAAAATTAACAAAAGTATGTGTAAGATAAAAATGAGTATGTAAATAACACTATAAATTAAAAGATCATCTACCTGAAGAAAATAAAGGTGCGTACATAAAAAAGAAAGAAAAAAATAAAACAATTCTCATCGAATCAAACTCTCACTGAACTCCATGTCAAAACTAAATCTACGGTGGTTTCCATTAAAAAAAAAAAAAAAAAAAAGCAAGCCTCGATAGTAAAAATTACTGTGAAAAAAAAAATCATATGATAAAACTTCAGAGTACAAAAAAGAGCACCAAAATATTACAAGCGGTCTTTATCAACAAGAACATCCACATTTGAATGTGATGTTAGGAAGACTAATTTTGGCAACTAAATTTACAAATCATATGATGTGTCACTAATAAGAAATAAACATTTTAATCAACAATTAGGTAATAATTCAATTAATTACAACAATCACGTTATACGATTTACAAAATTAATTTTAAAAAATTGGACTCTCTAACATTACTCCCATTCAAATTAGTTGAAAAACATTTTTAACATGCAAGTAGACAAATAATAACTAGATTAATGCATCTTCCCAATAAAAAGAATAGGCTTAAATGTCAAAATGGTCACTGTGTTTTACTCTATCAGCCAATTTAGTCCATGTGTTTTCAATTTGGCCAAATTGGTCCCTGTGTTTACATCTGTTTGCCAATTCAAGACATTCCGTTAAAGGACCAGTAAAATTGACATGTGTCAAGCACATGTGAGGACAAAAACGTAATTTTATGTACACCCACTAAACAAATATGATGCCTATCTTTAGAAATTGATGTTTCATTCAATTCATTTGAGTACTATTTTAACTGTCTTTTAACAGATTGTCTTGAATTGATTAACAGATATAAACACAATGACCAAATTGATCAAATTAAAAATATAAGAACTAAATTGGTCAATAGGATAAAACACAGGGACCATTTTCACATTTAATAATATTACATTTCCTAATTAAGCCCATGTTGCCAAAAGTGCCAATTATGGGCTAATCACTAAAGCCCAACAGTAAAAAGTATTCTATTCCTAGCTTTAAATGTCGGCATAGTCGTTGCAATACAGAACTCAATTCAAAGATGAACTTCTCTCTCTCTCTCTCTCTCTCTCGTTTCTCTCTCCAAGTTCTAACACCGTCCTCTTTCTTGCTTTCTTCAACAAGTAAACCGACAGAATTCCCATTACTTTATAATCCCCATGTACACATATGCATCGAATTAAAACCCCTCTGTGTGAACATAATCTCCACTACCTTCATAGTCGGCTTCTGAGATCTATATTTGATGGGGTTTTGGTGCATATCACATCTCACATAAGAAATTGCAAAAACACAGGTTTTAACTGTGCCAAAAAGGAAAAAATTAAGTTAAAGAAAATAAAATTATTAGAAAGGTGCATCGTGGATGAATGATCAAGATTGTCTCAAAGGCAACACTATTTTAATGGCGGCTCGTCAAGTTCGAATTGTGAACCGTGAACCGGTCCACATATATATATAGCCGTTGCTCTCAGAAGAGTCTTCACAATTTGTCAAAAGCTCGATCCGGGTCATCCTTAAAATTCTCTCTCCGTCGATCAAAACTTCACATCGAAAGAAAATAAAAAGAGCTAAGAGCGGCTGGGTTTTACATGTGCTTACTGAAGGTGGCGAACCAAAGGAGCTCAGGAGGCGGCGGTCAATACGACAGGTTTGACTCTCCAAACGACGCTAGCGATGTTGATGCAAATATTAATAATATTAACTACGGCGGAGGATTGGAGTTGCCGCCGCCGTATCAACAACAAGAAGGACAACAACATGTTTCGACTTCGACGCCGACAATGTTTTTGGGGTACGGTCGGGCGGCTACGGAGATGTCGGCGATGGTGTCGGCTTTGACGCATGTCGTTTCGGGACAGAGAGGCAGCGATAGCTGGGGGCATATTGGAAGCGGTGGAGTTACGTCTAGTCTAGGCCAACTTTATTCTTCTGCATCTTCATCTTCTGCTTCTCCTTTGTCAGCTGCTTTTCCTTCAAGTGCTTCTGGTTCTCACTATTGGGTCGGTCAAAAGAGAGGGCGCGAAGAAGATTTTGCTTCTGCTTCTGCTCAAAGCCAATTCATGGAATCTGGTAATAGAGCATTTAGAGGTGGCTATAGGGATTACAGAGGAACACAATCAGAGTCTTCATCTGGTGGTGCAACGGGTCAGTTTTCAATCTATAATCCAAATCATCATCCTTCAAACTCTATTTTTTTATTTTTTATATTATTTTATTATTTTTATATTATTATTATTGTTTTTTTTTATTTTTTAGAACTTGGTTTTCTTTATCATATGTTCTCAACCATTTTTAATAATAATCAATGGTTTTGAGAAGACAAAATAAATTAATGCCATTTTAATCACATTAAAATAATTCATTCCTTCATATTATTTCTCTTTCTCATGAGATTTATTTGTGGAAAAATAAATTGAAGATTTGCAAAGAGTTTTTCTTCTACTATAACATGATATATTATCCAATATTGCATGCAGTTTGTTGTTACTTGTTTACCTTAATTAGCTGAATCCTGCAAAGATTAAAACTTTCATTTCTTGAGCCTTTTAGGCTAACATGTTTACATTTTGAATGTATTTTTTCCAAAATTATTCATAAAAGAAGAAGAAAAACCCAATGAAACAGTGCCATCATACACCAAGATGAATAATCTATATAATTAATATACGTGCTTTTCAATACAGCGACAGAAGAAACTACAAATTTTGCCACCACCCACACCACCACGACGGCCACCGTATCTGCTACCACAGCAGTACCAACCACACCATCAAGTGCAGAATCTGTTTCATTTGGAGAAACTGGCGAGAGGAGGAGGAGATACAGGGGAGTTAGACAGAGGCCGTGGGGTAAATGGGCAGCTGAGATACGCGATCCACACAAAGCTGCAAGAGTCTGGCTCGGCACATTCGACACGGCCGAAGCCGCCGCCCGAGCCTATGATGAAGCTGCTCTAAGATTCAGAGGAAACAGAGCTAAATTAAACTTCCCAGAAAACGTCAGACTCATCCAACCACCAGCAGCTGTCCAAACATTCAATTCAAATTCTAGACCAACACAATCAGCTCAGCCGTTGCAGCCGCCGCCTCCGCCGCTACAACCGCCACAACAGCAACTCTATCACCCTCAGCAAGCTTTTCATCCCTCCTCTGACCTCATCCGAGATTACTTTGACTACTCTCAGCTCCTTCAAAACTCCGCCGACTCAAATTTACTGGAACAGATGTACTACTACAATTCCCAATTGGCGTCACTTCAATCTTCTTTGCTACAACCTACAACGTCATCCACTCCATCTTCTGCATTGCCATCCTCGGCCTCCTCTTCTTCATTTCCTCTGTTTTTCTCTGAGCAGAATCAGCAACAGGGTTTTTTCCTGCAGCCACAGGATCCGAATCAGGGCGGTTCGTCTGATTTCCAGGCACCATCTTGGTCACATTCCAGCAACAATCCATCCTCATCCGGTTGATACTTTCATGAATACTTTTTTTTTTTTTCCTTTCCTTCCTTTATTTTATTAATTTAGAATATTTTTCTTGTTGCTAGGTTTTGATTTTAATATCATAAATACACCATGTATTTTGCACGTTGCATTTTTGTTTTATTTATTAATTATTATTTGGATTTTTATGTCATATTTAAAAAGCAAAGAGATAAAAACAAGGGAGGCACTTAGGATTTAGGTGTTAGTTTGATCTCAAAAGATTTGATGTCTACATTCTTCTCTCAGTCATCATCTATGGAAAGATGTAGAAGCCTTCTTTTTTAACGTTTCTGCATCTTGCTTTACATTCAAATTATCACAATGATACATACCACTGGTTAGTAGTACAGATTTTACGCAAGATTTAAATATTGTAAAGATTAATCAGATTTATATATACAATATATACATAGTTTATTTTCTAAATCGATCAGTGGTATGTATCGTGGAAGAAAATTGCAAATTTATTAACTAAAGGATACATTTACATGTTGTTATATATATGTCTCTGTGTGTTGTGTATAATAATTTTGTGCTGATGGTGATCTTTCATGGTTATCCTTTGTGTTATCGGTATCCAAATATGCTCCTTTCTAATATTACCAACTTACCCCGTTTGTGTTGATCTTCACACCTAAACTGTGGATGAGGATCAAATTGAACAAAGAATACTAAATTGTAAATTCATGGTGGATCCTATCCAAATTAGGGCATATGGATAAGACTCAAACCCATCATATTGGAGGGGATGAATGTATCACAAGATCTAGTGGTGTCCTTTCTTTTCAGTTATTACCCCCAAACATCTTATCAGGGGTGAGATTTGAATCCAAAGTATGTGTTAGGCTCATAATTATATGGGTGTGACTCGAGCGCCATATCATGAAAAGTAATTTAAATTTTGAATATCTTCTAACATTTCAAGTATGTGTTAGGCTCAAATTAATACAGGAGTGACTCGAGCCTAACCATATCTAAAAATGTACTTTGAATTTCGAGCATCTTCTAACATTTCGAGAAAAAAAAAATATTAATACAAGAAAAATTAGGCCCCATAGCTTTTTACTTCTTTTGTAATACTGAGACGACTAGTAACGAATTGTAGCCAAACAAAAGTGAAAACATATACGTGTATGCATGTATCGAAGCACGACATGAGAGGTTCGTGTCTCGTATGTGTTAGGCCTAAATTTAGGATAATCAAGCTTGCCACTCCTACAATTTTAGGCACACAAAAGGAAACTAGTAAAATGAGGTCCATACAGTAAATTATTTTTCTTCTAACGTTTTAGACTTGGTTCTCACTGAAACTAATATTGTTAGTGAAAAACACTTGTATCAAATTAAGGAGAGAAAAAACAAAGATTTGGCCTAAGCGCATTTAATCTGTTGGCGGACTGTTGCATGGAAATTTTAAGAGTTTGATTGTTTTTGAAAGTAAAACTTTGACTTAGATATGTCAATGGATTAGATTTTGACTCATATTTTACCTGATTTCGATGTAATTAATAGGATATGGATTGTGATTTTCAATTTGATTATTCGAATGATTTTTTGTAAGGATGATCATTCAATGTTGATTAAGAAATTGAAAGATTTTGATTTTAAAATATCTACCATGAACATATATTATTTGCAAGTGGTAAAATAAGTTCATCCTAAAAGAAAATCCAAATACTATCCATTTAATATTACTTATAAAATTCAAAGAAAATGCCCGAACTAGAACCAATTCAAACTCTACAAATTTTGAATCAGTCTTACATTTGAATTTGAGGTAGTTTAATTTTCGTCTGTTTACTTGGTAATCAATGAGGACTACAGTCGGTAATCAATGAACTTTGACACTAAACTTTGACACTAGAAAGCCTAAGCTTCAGCAACTATTTTCTTCGTTACTTTATGGCGAACTGGCGAAGAGGACTTGCAGTTCATCTGTAGAAAACTCAAATGGTGGACATGAGTTTATCTAAATTGGTTAGGACAATGTGTTCTACTATCTGCATTCAAGTTCAAATTCCCGTACATCTTAGTAATTTAGATGAGTAGGGTTAAGTCACATAATGAGTCAACCATAATAATTTGGTATCGAACTCACCATTAACTTGAGTTGAACTTAAAACCTTTTATTTATAAGTGAAAAAAAATTACTAGACTGTAGTACCAAGTGATAATAATCATAGTACGAAGTAGATTAAGAACAAGACAATTATATAATTATAGTATTTAAAATATGGAACCCCATTCACATATATGAGACCCACGTCTGACAATAATCTTACGTTTCAAGGAAATGTGTGTCTTTCTTATTTTTTATCGAATGGAACGTGCTTCTAGATACAATAAACGTGCTAAACATTTGCTTTTAAGATTGTTAATTGATCTGAAATTTTGTTTGTTTATAACTTGCTTTAGTTTTTGATCTCAAGTGCCCCATTTCAAGTTATAATCTTTGTTAAAGCATTAAAAAGGCTATGGGTTTAATGTCATATTAGGACACCCAAACCTTATCTTAAACATTGTTTTCACCATTAAAAAACATTTTAAGGGGATATAAGGAAGGTCATTATCATATACAAGAAGATCAAATCTAAATATATCAAATTATTTTATGGATTATTCCCAACAGCTTACCAGAAACGTGTGCTTCTTTTTATTTTCATATTACAGTAAAACTTCTACATAATAACTCTAAAAAGGAATTATCTCCTTATAGTCATAAAAAATTTAGTCTCTACTTCAGTCAGTTATGTATAGGAATAAACTCAGTATTGTAATAAGTTGTAATCTTTTGAGGTACCGTCTTAAGAAAATTCACCTCTACATGGTAAAAATTGTCAATAGGTACAAAAAATTATGCAATGTCACAAAGATAAATTTAAGCTGAAGTAAAATATTTCTCTAAAGTTATTTGGGACAATGCTTTATTTTTTAGGGTTGATACCTCGCCAACATGGACAATGTTTTATAAAATTTATTTAGGAAGCGGAAATATCAAAGAAAGCACTACATAAATGTATGCACTTACTTTTCAATATTAGGTGTCTCATTTTTTTCAATGCTACATTTTGAAAATTTGCATGCTCCACTACTAATCATTTATTTGTATCATACAACTTTCGTTAAGGATAAATAAGTCAAAAAGTTGTTTTTTTTTTAAAGTATTCCTCTATCAATTAATAAGCTCCCAAAAGTTATAAAATCGGTTTAATCCTAACGTTATGGCTATATAGACACTACTACAAAAAATACTTTGCGTGATGAAATAAGTTTGTTGCGCAAAGTATGATTTCGTCGCTTAAAACCCTGCACGACAAAACCTTTGTCGCGCATGGTTCGTCTTACAAAGCTCATGACAATAGGATTTGCGTTACAAAAATTAATCTAATCTTCGTTGCGCGAAGGTACTTTGGGCGATGAAATATTTCGTTGTGCAAAGATTTTTGGTTTTTAATTAAATTAAATTAATTTAATATTTTGTGTGACGAAATAAATTGTTTCTGCGACGAAAAATTTTGTCGTGCAAGATTTTTGACCTTTTGTTTTATTATTTCTTTTATTTTAATTTCATCACACACAAGATTTTTCAAAAATTTATTTATTTTAATTTAATTTAATTGTATGACTTTATTTTTTTTAATTACTTTAATTTAAATTGATATATTCAAAATAAAATTACATATGAAAAATAGTGATCAAATTATCCAATATATATAATATATTTAAAATGTACTTATAAATTAACAAAGTGCAATAATAAAATCTTAATACAAGTCTATTGTGGTGGTAGTGGCGGGGGATATGGTCCGATAGCATCCTAATCCTCAACTTTAGTTGTCAAAGTCTTGATGATTCCTTACGAACAAAATAAACATGGTCAAATAACCAAAAAACAACATAAAATAATACCCAAAAATTGGCATAATCTCCCCTAAAATTGGCATAGCCCAAATCCTACCCAAACTCGGCTCCACACCAAACCCAATTAATTAACTCCAAAAACACATATTAATGAAAAAAATTAAAATTTTGGGAGAAAATACCTTTTGGCAAGATTGAGAGTGAGTGAGAATGAGAGAGAGGATTGAGTGTGAGAGAGCTAGAGGAGATAGTGAGAGAGAGATGAGAAAGTGAGTGAGCGTGAGAGATAGAGAAGAGAGATTAAGTGAGAGGAGTGAGTGTGAGAGAGAGGTTTGGGGAAATGGAAATAGGGGAGAGGTAAGAGAATAGAGAAAGACATTGAGAAAATTGTGGAGGAGTTATTTTGGTTTTAAAAACCGTAACACTTTGCGCAACGAAATGTTGGTTGCGAAAACTCTTATAAAAATTTAAAAAATAAAATTTCTCGCGTCCCATTTTTGGCCCCGCCCAAATTTTTAGGGTTTTGCGTGATGAAATGTTGGTCACACAAAGTCTTAAAAAAAATTTTAAAAAAAATCTCGCTTCCCATTTTTGGCGCCCGCCCAAATTTAAGGATTTTGCGCGACGAAATATAGGTTTGTTGTGCAAAATTAATTTTTTTTTTATAAATAATAAAAAAGAGAATAATTTTATTTTACAATTAAAAATATAAATAAATTAAAATAAATACGAATTAGGAGACCAAATGTTGATTTGTCCCGCAAAGAAAAAAATTAAAAAATAAACAAAATAATTTAGTTTAACAATATAAAATATACAATTAAATAAAAAATAAGTAAATAGAGTTTAGGTGACGAAATATTGATATTCATTGTGCAAAGTTTTGAAAAAAAAGAATAAAAACTTATGAAAATAACTATATTTTAAAATTTATAATATAAAATTAAATAAAAAAGAAAATAAATTGATTTAGGCGACGAAATATTTGGATTTTGTCATGCAAAGGTTTCAAAAAATAATTTTTTATTTTTGTAAAGACTTTGCACGACGAAGTTTAAAATGTCGTCGCGCAAAGTAACTTTATGCGATGATGTTTGTTTCGTCGCACAAGGAGTTTTTTTTACTTGTGAGAGAGTTTACTTTATATTAAACCGTCCTAATTTACTTTTATATGACATTATTGTTTCATGCATGTGATAACATCTTCTCAGTTGGATACTTCAACATATTTTAACATGTTTGTTGAAGGTTTTAAGTTGAATTCCAAATTATTGTTGGCTTATTTTGTGG